ACAAGCAGACAATGGTAATCAAAGACGACGATTGGGAGTCATGATCAGACGACAACAATAAGAAAGTGATAATTAAGAAATCAGGGGTCAAGATTAGTCTCAAATTCATTAGATTTATGCTGTGATTAGTGAAATATAAGTTTTAATTAATTATTTAACTTGGCTCATAGTAAATTCAAATATTGCACCGACTTCATTAAACAAATTCTGACCTAATTTTTTTTTTCCCCCTGAGTGAGCTTGAAAGAAGCCTCCTCTTCGGCTTACGTTCTGCCGCAATTTCTGAAATCTCATGTGATCTCTATTATACTATGTGTTTAGTAGAAGAAGAAACTAATGCTCATAGCGTTTACCCTCACTAATCACTCAAAAATTAGGGGTATTTACATACATACATACAAATGCTCATAGCGTTTACCCTCACTAATCACTCAAAAATTAGGGGTATTTACATACATACCACCCAATTCTTATGTATTTAGATATCTAACACCTAAACTTTAGTTTTATATTTATTCCACACAAATATTTTAAATGCTATTGTTTTAACTTTTAAAATGTGAATACTCCTTTTTATGCATAGGTAAGGTGGTGAGTATGTAAAAATTGAAATTTAGGTGCTAGACATGCAAATACTTGGGAATTGAGTGGTATGAATGTAAATCTTCCATATATATGTATAGACAATGGGTATTTAAAGTGCTTGTTAGACCACCATTACTTCATCAAACACTTCAGTAACAGTTATTTCTTGCTCATTTTCTATGTAGATGGCATGTTGATTGCAGGAGCAAATACAAAGAAAATCAGAAACTTAAATGAATAATTATCAAGGGAGTTTGAGATGAATAGTTTAGGTCCAACTAGAAAAATCATTAGGATGAGAATTAGAAGGGACATGAGTGCAGGCAATATGTTGATAAGCTACTACAAAAGTTTAACATGAGTGAGAGAAAGCTAGTTTGCACCGCCTAAGGAAGTCACTTCAAGCTATCTAAGAATTTATAGCCTAAGTCTGAAGCATGATAAACATAGATGGGAAGAACTCAGTATGTTTCAACAATTTAAAGTCCGATGCATGTTATGATTTGTACTAGAATTGATATTGTATTTGTGGTGATAGTGGTCAATAAGTACATAGACAATCTTGATAAGCATTATGAAATTCTCAGGTATATAAGACAAGCAATCAACATGAAACTATGCTACAGAAGTACATAAATCAGTCTATATGGAATTGTAGATTTATATATTGCATAAAATTTAGATGGTAGAATAAGTACAACAAAGAATATTTTCGCTTTGGGGAACACAACAGTAAGTTGAGCTTTCATGCTATAGAAAATTGTTGCACTTTCAACTATGAAGATCGAATATATTGCTATCACAATACTAGAACAAAGATAATTTGGCTATAAGGGTTTATGATAGAATTAGGCTAGGTGTAGAGGAGTAGGAAGATTCATATTCTTAATATGAGTACAATTTATCTTGCTAAGAATCCTGGTTTCCTGCCAAGACAGAACAAATTCAATTGAGGTATCACTTTATACACTGTCTCCTAGAGGGTATGCAATTATTCTTAGAAAAGATGCACACTACTCATAATTTTGTGGACATGTTGACAAAAATGATGACAATTTTGAAACTGGATATGATTCTTCAATTTGAGTTCATGAAGTTTAAGTTTGGGGGTGAACCACACCACAGTACACGACCATGAAGATAGTACAAATGGAGACACACATATGGAGAAATGTGTTGGGTGCTTCTAGCCTCCAAGTAAGAGATTATTGAGGTGTGGAGACTAGAAGAGCACCCTCACCCACAACAAAGTTAGGGAAGTAGTAAGGTATTTCTGGTGCGGTACACTCGTGTTCCGACGGCGAACTCGCGCCTACAAAAAAAGGGTGCAACGCACCCATGCACATATGGGTGCGTCAGAGTTGGGTTTTGCAGTGCTCTTGCACGTGTCGTCTATCAGGCCCTTATGCGTGCTGGTACAAAATGAACAACATTCCTACATCAAAGAGTGGTGAGGGCACGCTAGGTGTAGTTTTTCTCCCGTTTTAGTTTAAATCCTCTATTCAACAATAAAGTAGTGGACTCTTGCATGTGGTTCTATTGAAAAGGATTCTCATAAATCACTAAAGTGTCAGAGAGGAGGATTTTAGCGTGATTTTCTCTAGTGAGACTGAAATGAAGATTTTGAACCAAAGTCCTCCAAGTTCCAATGGTTGCAAGGAAGAGATTTGAGAGAATAATGTGTACTTTTTTTTTCTGAATTTCATAGTAAATTTTTTTGGCATTTTAGTTCTGCAATTTTTTTTCATTTTTTGTGTTTTTCATGTTAATTTTTGGCGTATTTTTTGCATTATATATTATTGTGCTTTCTTTCAAATATTTTATTTTGGTTTTTTTTAATCAATGCGATCATATTCTGCTGTGTGGTTTTGATTTCTAATTGGATCGAATCTCTAGTAAAAGTATAAAGTTTTTATCATTCAAATAATCATGGTCCTCATGGTATAAAGTTTTCATCATTCTAATAATCATGCTCATGGTCATGGGGGTTGTCACATTACTTCTTGGGGCCTCGAAGGTAAGCTTAGGATTTCATTGAGGGCACTCTCATGAAATAATTTCTATTTTGATTTGCCTCTACCATGTCGATCATCAAAACTCACAATTGAGTTATCCTGGATACTTCATAATTAGGCAGTGGGTGCTCATTGTACCAATCCCACCGTTGATGCGCTTACTAAGCCCGACTCCCTCAGTAGGGGTGTAAACGAGCCGAACACGAGCAGGCCCAGGCCTCGGCTGGG